TAAGTTTGAAATTATTAAAATGCCATTTCTTAAACTCAAATAATGTGAGTTTGAAATTATCTAGATTCCATGCATCATCTAAGTTGTTTACACATTGAAGTCCTCTCTCTGCACATGCTGTAGGTGGAATTTTTTAGTTACATATACACACATAAGAAAAAAAGTGAATTTTGACAAGAAGATACATACACTGAATTTCAAGTTTTTCTATATTGTGAAGCTGAAGATGGGAAAATGATATCATGAGGGCTTTAACGCTATTAGGAGAGAAAGATAAATTTTTTGTTGCTATAATTTTCAACTTTACTATGTTAGAAATGGTGGCTTGCTTCTGTTTTTGTTTGAACTGTTTTGGCCAGCAAAAATAATTGTTCATGTTGGCAGAAGTAGAACATTTGCCAGCATGAAAAAGCACTATTTAGAATAATATTTAGCATAACGTAACATATGTTTTCTTAGTTTAAAACACAGGTGACAACAACAGTTACATTTGTAAAATGTACACAAATGCCCTGGAATCAAGGAACTAATGACAAGAAGAGAAGGTCAAATTCAGAAATAAAAATGATATGGGTCATGTGTCATGGGATATGACATACTAGCTCAGTTTCACAGAAGAACACAGGTTTGGTAGTCTAGAAAGTACAAAGTTTTCTGTGCCTCATGTAGTGTATAGCACAACACCTTACGTGATTAGATACTTATGAATGCTTCCATACACAAAGAAAAGCTGAATGTGTTAGCTAATTATTTTGATAACATCAGTTTTTATAGAGTAAATTCTCCTCACATTGTTTCTAACCTTTGCTTGATATCTAGAGCTCTAAAAATTGATTTAACATTTTTTAGTATATTCTTTGCTCTATTAAAGACATGGTGATTCACAGAGGTTCTTGCCCCCCATTATAGAAGTCCTCTGTAGTCCTTTTATTTCTTCTTTTTTTTAATTGAAAAAAATTTAGATCACTTATTAATATCACTCATCACATGGATCCATATATTTTTAATGCTATGGACAGAAAGCTAATTTAGTAATCATCACTAGAAATATCTTCATATATGTATTATTGGTATGAAAGATTTCCTATAAGTCAAATTGGTGACAAATGTAAAACATTGCCTTTTTTTTGGTGGTGGAATGTTAAATTTCACCACTGAAGAATCATTGTAAGAATTAGGGATATTTTCACATCAAATACATTATGCTCTGTGCATCTGAACAGATCAATAGGAGATAGCTACTTCATATAGGTCTCATATGAAGTTATCAGCCCAACGTAGGGGATAAATTTAACACACATACATTTTTTAAAGGAAACATAAAAATTAAGAGATAAGAAAAGAGTGTATGTTACAATTTTGTTTGCATGTTAGAAAAAAATCACTGACCATAGCCACTTAAAAATAAAACTTGTGTCTTGTCACTCTGCTTCTAATCTCTGTTGGTACCATTTTATGAGCCCATGTTGTGTGTCTGTATTGGACCCTACCACTGAAGGTTAAAGTATGTCACTGCAATCAGCTGTAGAAATATCTTTAGCATTTGTTTCTTAAATATGACGTTCCTTTTGACTACTCTCACCAAATCTAGCATTTAGGATAATTCTGACACACAGTTCTCTTCTGCAATACATGATTTGGGCATGATAATGTTATGATGTGTGAAATCTAACCTCAATCTTTATTTTGCATGTTTTTAATGCTGCTTTTTCTATTTCCAAACTAAATAAACCTTCTGTTTCCATATCCTCTCCAAATCTGTAACTTCTTTTTATTTAGCTGTTTCTCTCATCAGTGTATAAATGAATCTGACACACTCTCAGCACAACCTTAGCTAATAAGTTATATTTTGTTAATTTTACTTTACAACACATGGTTAAAATGATCATAAAACTTCAGGAGGTTGAGGGTTTGGAGCCCAATTTGGAAACTTTTGACATAGATCTTTATCCAGTTGGTCTCCTATTTGCAAAAACTCACCATGACCTTGTCTATATTCACTACCTTCCTCTTTAGGGAAGATCTGGGTGTAAAATTTTGTTAAGTGACTGAAATACATCAAGAATTTTTCTGAGACTTTAGAAGGGTACATGGACATATACAATGTTTTCACATTTAAGATTAAAATCACGGGGCACATGTGTGCCTCAGTGGTTTAAGTCTCTGCCTTCAGCTCAGGTCATGATCCCAGGGTCCGGGGATCCAGCCCCACATCGGGCTCTCTGCTCAGCGGGGAGCCTGCTTCCTCCTCTCTCTCTCTGCCTGCCTCTCTGACTACTTGTGATCTCTGTCAAATAAATAAATAAAATCTTAAAAAAAAAAGATTAAAATCACAAAATTTAAAGAGAACCTTAAAGATAGTACACACTAATTTCCCAGTCAAAATAGTAAATTATAGTGATGCCTGGGTAGCTCAGTGAGTTAAGCCTCTGTCTTTGGCTCAGGTCATGATCTCAGGGTCCTGCATTGAGCTCTCTGCTCAGCTGGAAGCCTGCTTCCCCCACTCTCTCTGCCTGCCTCTCTGCCTACTTGTGATCTCCCTGTCAAATAAATATATAATTTTTTTTTAAATAGTAAATTATACCTAAGTTGAACAACAATGACCACACTTCTGCTTTCTGTTGCAACACATTCTATTTGATGTTTTCTATGTTTTCAATAAACATATTTGTTTTAAGATTGTTTCTATAAAGCTGTATATTTCCATGAAGTTATACATTTTCTTTTTTTTTTAATTTTAAGATTTATTTATTTGTTTGGTGGGGAGGGGCAGAGAGAGAGGGAGAATCTCAAGCAGACTCCCCACTGAGTGTGGAGCCAGATGCTGGTCTCGATCTCATGTCCCTAAGATCATGACTTGAGCTGAAATCAAGAGTCAGAAGCTCAGTAGACTGAGTCACCCAGGTGTCCCAAAGCTATAAATTTTCAATACAGCTCTTTGTTTATTTCTTTTCTACAGATTACATCTTTTCACATCAACTCAATTAATTTTTTAAAAAATATTTTCCTGTTCACCCAGCCATTTTGGCATTATCTTCTTGACAAAATTTCACTTATCTCTATCTTCTGGAGGCTTATTATGAGTTAACAAAGTACCTTTTACTTTAGCAGTGTGAAATTAAATGAATTATTACTTCACTTATTTCAGCACCTAGCCTTTACTTAATTATTGTTTACAAATGTATACCTGCCATTTTTAATGGATTAATGGAAATTATATCGTCCATGTTAAATTATGCTTAACAAAATAAATCCAAAATTATTCTTATACATAACATAAAACTGTACAATTTTTTTTGCCCAAATGCAGGATTTCAATAACAATAACTTTTCTTCTTTTGGTTGTTTATTTGGACATATATGATTCTTAAATACTTATTCTTCATTATTTCCAACTTGTCTACTCACTCAATATAATAATTGGAAGTCTCAGTGGTTTCACAGGTTAAATTTATTTTGAGTTAATGAAAATAAACCATTCTTGGAACATTTTTCACATAAATGTGTTGTACACTATACAAAAAATTACGATAATTAAAAAAATAGTTTTAGTAGTTTATGGGTTAAAGAAATAACCAGAATTTACATAAGAAACCCATATTTAAGTAATTAAAAAGCAGACAAGATAATTAAGTGATTATAGCCCCCAAAATATAAAGTATTTGTAGACTCTGTAAATAAGAAAAAGTAAGTGTAAAAAAGCTGCATTAGAGAACAGAGAACATGACCTAAAATAGAATGTGTCTAAAAATCAAATCTCAGGATAACTGGATTTTATCTCCCAAACATTCTTTCAATTGTTAAATTTTACTCGAAAACAAAACATCTAGTGGAAGGGATATATTATTGCCATTTACTTATGAAACATCTTGGTCTTAGTATATGATCCCACCAAATACTGGGGATGGGGAATGCAGAATGAATCTAGCCAGTGAGCAGCCAGCTGGTGCAGAGGATTGTAGGCAAGCTACTTAGAGGATGGACAAATGATCTCAGAGAACAAACTGTCATTCTGATGCCAGGTGTCCAGGCCAGGCAACCACTCAGGACCTGTGAGTGAGAGCAAAGCTCACAGGTGCATAGACAACACCCATGACATCACAAACACCTGTCTGGGCAATTGAGAGATATCTATAAGAGGAAATCCATAAGCTTATTATAAAGAATATATGTCAGATTCATCCACTGAACATTGACCTCCCTCCTATGGAGCTATGCACTGATTAAACTCAGCAGCAGTTGAATGCATGTGTATGTAACTTGGTCCTATGGGTCAGCCCAAGAGAATGGAAGGGAAAGAAAGGTTAAACATTTTGAAGAACAGACAAGGGAATATGAGAGTTGTAACTGGTGCATTCTAATGAGATGATACCTCTCCTGATATCACATTTTGTACAAGCTCACATTTCTTAATTAAGGAATATATATGTATATGCAGAGAATGGTGGGGGGGAAGAAAGATGGTGAGTTGATAGCTGCAATGAAAACTGTAGTCCTGAAATTTAAGGCTCTCCCCCATAAGATAATTCAATAAATTAAAATGTAAATCTATTTAAATTCAAATTGTTTTACACATAAGTGATACATAACAATCTCTTACAAACCACAAATGGTGAAATAAAGATGCAGAAGAAAAATAAGTGAACAATTAATAGTACTCTATATAGTTAGTTTCGTGTGATATTAGGACTTCTGATTCTAAATACTGTGTCTCTTTCATTCTCTAACCAAGATTTCATTAGAAATAAGCCCTATTTGAGAAAACCCAGCAAAAATAGACAATAATTACATGAAATCCAAAACCCAGCAAAAATAGACAATAATTACATGAAATCCCTGAGTCCATATATAAGATTGGTGAATCATTTGTACATAAAAGGGTCCCTGCACTCGAGTATTAACAGAAAGCAATTACTTAGAAATATCCTAATGAAAACTGTAGGATTCAATCAATCTATAAAATTCATTTAATACCTAGTTCAGAAAATTTACCAAGCGTATCAGAGAAAGGAAGGGAACCTTGTCCTGGTAGTTACATTCCATAAAGCTTTCTTTACTTCCTGATTCCTGAGGCTGTAGATCAGAGGATTCAACATGGGGATCACCACCGTGTAGAACACAGAAGCCACTTTGTCCTGATCCAGGGAGTAGCTGGAACTAGGTCTCAGATAGGTATAGATGGCAGTGGCATAGAACAGAGTTATAGCTGTCAGGTGGGACCCACAGGTTGAGAGGGCTTTGCGCCTCCCCTCCCCTGAATGCATACGGAAGATAGAAAAGAGAACGTAGGAGTAGGAGGTGAGGATGACCAGCAAAGCCCCAACCATATTCACACCGGCAAATGTGGAAAAGATGCTTTCATTCAGGTGTGTGTCTGAACATGAGAGCCTAAAAAGTGGAGGGCTATCACAGAAGAAATGATGAATGATATTGGAACTGCAGAATGGCAAGCTGCTCACATAACTTGTGTTAACCATGGAGTTCAAGAATCCTGCTATAAAAGCCCCTGCTGCCATTTTGAGGCAGACAGTCCTGGACATGACCAGGGAGTAAAGCAGAGGGTTGCATATGGCCACATAACGGTCATAGGCCATTAACCCAAAAAGGATGCACTCAGTTGTGGCCAAGGCGATGAAAAAGTACAGTTGCAGAAAGCAGCCAGCAAAGGAGATGGTTTTCTCCTCTGATAATAGGTCCACCAGCATCTTAGGGGTGATGGTGGAGGAGTAACTAACATCCACAAAGGACAGGTTAGCCAGGAAGAAATACATGGGTGTGTGAAGTCGGGAATCAATCCTGATTAAGAGGATCATCCCAACATTCCCCAGAACTGTAAGTGTGTAAATCACCAGAAAAAGCAAGAAGAGGACAATCTGTAGCTCCATCGTGTCTGCTAATCCCAACAGGATGAACTCGGTCGGTGAAGAGTGGTTTCTTCTGGTCATTTGTTGCACATATAGTTTGCTTAAACTTGCACCAATTGTAAATACTTTCTTCTCCTAAGTTTATAAGAAATAGAAATGTTATTGAGGTCATTCACCCATGGGGGAAAAGCACAACCTAGGATAATACAACACAGTAAATTGAGTGATGGAGGAAGAGGAAACTGGGCAACAAACAGATCAGCCTTTGAATTCAATGAACAAGTGTCTGAATTGAATCAAGATTGGGGGATCTCTCAACTCACTAGTGCAGGACCACACACTCCCATTCAGTTTGTGCAAAAGCATTATGTGTTTTTCTGTTCTTTCATTCCAGCGAACATCCATATGCAAATGATAAAAATATTCTTGCTTCAGATTCTCTCACTCTGTGAACAGATATGTGTGTTTAACTGAAATCTATTTTTTTTCACTCAAGACCACTCTGAATATTCAAAACCAAAACTCCCAGAAATTGTTTTTGTCTACCACAAGTAGCAAATATAATGACCATTTCAAATAAGCAATATTTTGACAGCTCTTATTGTCTTATTCATGATTTTGTAGTGTTTTAAGAGGAAAGGGAATGAAGCAGTTTTTCTTGTTCCAAATACACTCTCAAATACATCAATTAGTATGAGACATGCTACTTATCCAACTCCTTGAATAACTATATCAGATCCTGCTAAATTCCTTCCTAGTGTCTTACCTGTGTAGTCTATTTTCTTTTTTATCAGTTCTCAGTTGAAGCTTAAAAATCAAAAGTAGAAATTTTTTTAAATGAAATGCAATGCAATGAAAATTCAAATAAGCTATTTGTTAGAATTTGAGATACCTTCTTTACAAATACATACTACCAAGCATTTATGTTGATTTTTATAAAAAAAAAATGGTAACCATGGGAACCAGATTATGGGTTTTAATTGTGAGTCAATCCTCTAAAGGCAGAAACTCCAGTCTCAAATGAGAAGACATTATGATCACTTGTATATATATGGAAATGAACGTTATGTGGATCTTGCATCATAAAGACATTCTTGTTCTCTGTGTTACTTTAAAGTTGTGCCAAAATAATTGATGAATCACTATATTACATCCTATATATTAACTACATTAGAGTGTAAAAACAAATTTAAAATAGTCCTTGCCAAAGTAAAACAAAAATGATAATTTTAATTGGCTATTTATGTTTCATCTCTCTTTGCAGCTTATCCCTAATGGGTACATGGCCCCAAACCAATATATTATTCTTACCCTTTTCAATAATTGAAATAATTGTTTTTCTTTTCCATTCCCTTTGTGTGTATGTGTGTTTGGTGTGTGTGTGTGCATGTGTGACCTTTCCCTTTGTCTTGGCAAGTTTAACCTTTAATCCAACTCTTTTTTGAGTAAACTTAATAACAATAAGAAATTAAATCCATTGTACAGTGTTTAAAGAAATAGTATACTATGAGCAAATAAGACAATCAATCAGAAAACCTAACTTCTTTTTTATGATTTTAGAATTGTGTTGGATTTTTGCAGTTAATGTCTGTGACTCTGATCCTATAAGGGAATGAAACAGTAGGTTCTCCGGATCTAAATACAAATAAAGCAAAATGGAAAAAAAGAAACACACACACACACACACACACACACACAGAGCATCCATACACACAGAGTCTATTTCTATAGGGAAGTCACAATATATTAAAATTTTTGGCTTAAATTCCCCACTAATCCTTCACACCAGGCTTGGAGATTACATTATTATTTTACACAATTTACAGCTGAGGTTTCAAGCTATGACATGACTTTTCAATAGACAAACTGTTAAGAAGTGGAAGAATCAATTTGAGGACAATTTTCAACAGAAAGAAATAATATCCAGATACCTAACTTTCTTGTCCCATCTCATTTTATCATAGTCACTTAGAAGATTATAAATATATATATATATGTATACAAGATTATATATATATATATATACACACACACATACACACACGTATGTTACATATATACATGGGCACACATATGTGCATGTATCTTTCAGTGAATACAATCTTCCGATCATCAGAGCAGGCAGAGTACTCCTGCATCTAAAAAAGGTTTTTAACATCTTACAATATATTGCTTAAAAACCTGACTTGTATGGATGTCGTCTTATGCCACTAAAAACTACCTCTTAATTGATCTCTAAAAAATCCATAATATTTGTTTAAAATGTATGAAACCTAATTAACAATTTAAGAAATGGAGTACTTCAAAATATTTGTAATTAAACAACCAGAAATGTTAATTAAGAGAGCCAGGAGGGGATGCAGCATAGTGAGTCATCATGGAAACGAGAGAAGAGGAGAATGTTATGAACAAAGAAGAAATCAATACTCTTACACCAAAATAAAAACAAAGATTGAAAAAGGAGATTAGATTCACTGAAAAGAAGATTATCATTAAAATTTTTGAAAAAAAGTTTCATTGAGGAAGAAACTACAACAATTAAAAAATCTTTCAATTTAAAATTTGGTTAAAAATGGTAAAATATTGAGTTGGAAGCTATCAGTTTTTTAAAGTCGGGTTTGATGTGCCATAGTTTTCCTACAGTAAATTATCACCGTGTTTACGTGCACAGTTTGGTTGAGTTGTGACAAACACAGTCTTGCAACCACTACTACGATCAAGACAAGTTCAAGGCTACTTGCCAGTTTAATAAATACCACAATTCCTCCGCCCTTATGGGCAATCCTATCCCCTTCTCCAGCCTCTGACAACCAGTTGGAAACCACTGATACAGTTTATGTCATGTTTTGTCCTTCTCAGGATATGATCTAAACACACACAGTTGCTGTATGTGTTTATACAAATACAGTTGCTGGAGGAGGACATTGAAAGGATGTGACCTCCAGTTGACTTGTGAGCTGAACCTAGGCAACTGGGCGCTCCCTACCCCTCTCCTGTCCTTGAAATGCACCTTCTGCCCATTATTTCAATGTTAGCAGCCAATTCAAGGACGTAGCCTTGAGACTGGTGTTGAGACCACTTGAATTGAAAACATGATTGAATCCAGGTAAGGCCTCTAGATAAACTTTTAAGATTCTGGTGAGCAGGTGTAGCAATCTACTTGTTTTGTTGTCTCTCAAGACAAGTATTATATATAAGTTCCCTTGCTTTTTAAACCTGCCACCAATCAGGAATGTTCTGCCTCTTGCTTAGTTCTATCCTTGTCATCTGTGTCAGGGGCCAGTTTGCAAATCAAACATAGTGTACAGCATTTTGAATTGGTTTCTGTCCCTCATTGTAACTTTTGAGATTCAAGGATGTTATTTTTTATCCATTTCCCCCCCTTATATTACTAAGTTGTAGTCCATTCTGTAGATAATGTCATTAGTTGATGGCTTCCAACTTACAGCAATTATGTACAAAACTACTGTTCCTCTATGTTTTTATTTATTTTGAGTAGATAGGGGTAAAATTGTTGGAACTTATAGTAAGCGTAAAAGACTGTCAAACTTTGGGACACCTGGGTATCTCAGTCGGTTAAGTGTTTGCCTTTGGATCAGGTCATGACCCCAGGGTCCAGGGATGAGCCCCATATCGGGCTTCCTGCTCAGCGGGGAGCCTGCTTCTCCCTCTCCTCTCCACTTGTGCTCTCTCTTTCTTATGATCTCTGTCACCATCTCTGTCTGTCTCTCAAATAAATAAATAAAATATTTTAAAAAACCTCACAAACTTTAACATAATTATCATGTTGCTTTTTATTGCCAACAATTTTTGAGAATTCCTGTTTCTTCTTTTTTTTTTTTTTCTTTTTTACTTTATAGGGGTTGTGTAGGATCAGTGGAAAAGGGCAGAGCAAGAGGGGGAGGGAGAGAGAATCTTAAGCAGGGTCTACATCCAGTGCTAGGCCCCCCTTGGGGTCTTGATCTCACAACCCTAAGATCATGACCTGAGCTGAAATCAAGAGTCAGATGCCTATCCCACAAAGCCATCCAGGTGAGACTCCATGGCTTTAAATAATCAACATTTGGCATTTTCTTTCTGTTTTTCCTTTTTTTTAAAGTTTTAGCTATTTTAATAGTTACGGATGTATTTTTCATTGTGATTTTAAGTCCCTCTAGTGACCATTTTGAACATTTTTCATTTTTCATGTGCTTATTTCTGCCTTCATTTATTCTTTGATGAAATATCTATAAAACTCTCTTGCCTATCTTGTTATTTGGTTTTCTTGTTTATTGTCATTGTGATATAAGAATTCCTTGTATATTCTGCATACAAATCCTTTAAAGTATATGCACTTTATCAATATATTTTCTAGTTTGTAGCTTGACTTTTTGTATTTTTATAGTATCTTTTTGAAAAGTGATATTATTTTTTATTAAATACAGTTTATTAACTTGTTACTTATATATTTGTGCTTCCTGTTTAATATTTAATCAACAAATATTTGTGGATAAATAAAAGTGAATAAACTTGATTATATTTTAAACTGTAAATTTAAAAACAAGTTGTTTTTTATAAATGATTAGATTCATAATTCATCACTTCTTAGATTATAAAATTTTATCTATGTAATTTTTCTAAGAATCAACCTCAAAATGCTAAATTTTATTCTAATAAATTTATTCAAATTAATAAATCAAATACATGTAATAAATTATGAATTGATATTATAGGAAAATAGGTTTTTAATTTATTCATTTCTGTCACGGAAATGCATTTGTGGATTTTATTTACTTAGAAGAATGAAAAATATGTTGATTCATTATGTAACTTTAATGTCTATTGATTTCTCTTGAGATTCAATAAGAAATAACATAATTAGGAAGTATTCTGATGGTGAGCGCTATATTTTCCCCAATGCAAAAGGTAATAATTCACAATTTTCAAAGGGATTTATTACATTAAAGTAAAAACAGTTGGCAAGGAGTCTACATTTCCTTATCATACAGTGATTATTTTTCTCTCAGGATAATCATCACCATGCCACTTATCCCTTCAGTAATAATTGCACTGTACATTTTTTTTAATTTAAGCTAAAAAGT